TCAATCGCTATTGGTCACTTTAATGACGACGGATTTGTTGATATAGCTACCGCCAATTCTGGAACTCATGAAATAGGTGTACTTTTGAACAATGGCAATAGAACTTTCGCTAAGCAAGCCACCTATTCCGTTGGTTCTGCTTCTCCATATGCGGTTGGTGTCGGAGACTTCAATCAAGATAATCGATTAGACATCATCATCACTAATAATGGCATTGAAAATATAGGTGTACTTCTTGGGTATGGAAACGGTCATTTTAAAAATCCAATTATGTATCCAACTGGATCTTATTCTTCAATTTCCGTTGCTATAGGTGATCTTAACAAGGATCATCGATTAGACATTGTCGTCGTAAACAATGATACTGGTAGCATAGATATTCTCCTTGGTTATTTTGAGGGTTTTTTAAATCAAACAAGGTATTCAGTTGGCTCTTCTCCACAATCTGTAGTTGTTGGTGATTTCAACAACGACATTCGACTAGATATCGTTGTCGCCAATTCAGGTAGCAATGATGTGAGTGTCCTTCTTGGAAATGGAAATGGTTCTTTTGAAAATCAAACAAGGTATTCAGCTGGCTCTTATCCATCATCTGTAGTTGTTGGTGATTTGAACAACGACACTCGACTAGATATTGTTGTCGCCAATTCAGGTAGCAATGATGTGAGTGTCCTTCTTGGAAATGGAAATGGTTCTTTTGAAAATCAAACAAGGTATTCAGCTGGCTTTTCTCCATCATCTGTAGTTATTGGTGATTTCAACAACGACACTCGACTAGATATCGTTGTCGCCAATTCAGGTAGCAATGATGTGAGTGTCCTTCTTGGAAATGGAAATGGTTCTTTTGAAAATCAAACAAGGTATTCAGCTGGCTCTTATTCATTATTTGTAGTTGTTGGTGATCTCAACAACGACACTCGACTAGATATCGTTGTCGTCAATTGGCTTAGCAATGATGTGAGTGTCCTTCTTGGAAATGGAAATGGTTCTTTTGAAAATCAAACAAGGTATTCAGCTGGCTCTTATCCACATTCTGTTGTTGTTGCTGATTTCAACAACGACACTCGACTAGATATCGTTGTCGCCAATTGGGTTAGC